CCACTTAAAAACTCATTCTCTTCATACAGAATTTCTAAAACTCAGAGGTTGCTTAAGAACCTAAGCATTTAAAGACAGAGGATTATAGAGTTTTAGCCCTGAGGCTATTTAGATAATTTAGTCTAACCTCCTCATTCTAATTTCTTACCTCTTCACTTTTTAAAAAGATTTGTTCATGTATATGTGTATATGAGTGCTCTACTTGCTCATGTCACTGCACTGCAGAAGAAGGCATCGGATCCCACTATAGATGGTTAAGAGCCACCATGTGGGTGCTGGGAATTAAACTCAGGACTTCTGGAAGAGCAGTCAGTGCTCTTAACCTCTGAGCCATCTCTCCAGCCCCTTCTTTTCACTTTTAAAAAACTGTTTCCAGGAAATATACATGCCAAGCTACAGAATAAGAGCTGGTACTTCAGAAGCAAGTAATGAGAGCCTCAGGTGACCAAAACCACGACCAAGTGTTTCAACAGAGCATAAGGGGCAATGGAACACAAGGCTATTCTGGATGAGGGTGCTGGGAGTCAGAGGAGGGAGACCAGGGTAGAGAAATGGATCTGTATGGGTAGAAAAAACATCGTGTGTCTTTGTTTAGGAACCTCTGTGTCAATAGGAGGAATGCCCAAGGACACAGAGCTAGACAGTGGTAAAACTGGCAGGAGAATGGAATTCAAGGCTCAAACTCAAAATCACAGGCTCAGCTGAATGTTACTGACATGAGTCAAAACTTTTGTCTTGGTTTATTATGTCACAGCCCTTACATTTGCTGCAACCACGTTGAAATTAAGTCTTAAGACTCCTACCTGAGCTCCATGTCTAGGAGTCCTCCTCTCCTGTTCTAGTGACCCATCAAAACCTGGCATCTGAGAAGCACTCCCTCCAGTCTACTCTTGGGATGATAACATTTCCATTGCTGAATAGCATCAAATAAAACCCTGGTTCTGGCTTAGGAAGCATGTTTGTTAGTGATGCCTCAGTAATAGGGCAGTTCTAAGATAGGGTGACTATCTTCAAATATGTGAAGGATTGTTGGAGAGATTATTCTGTGGTGTTTAGAGGGGGGAAATAAGAATCAAAGGATACATAGTTTATTTTTCTAAATAAGAAAATCTTGAGCTATATTGGTAAATAATGAGTATCTCTATACAGAGAGTGTAGGGCTAAAACAGACAGAATGGCATCTTCCTTGGGATATTACAAAGGGAACTCATGGTTTTTACACAATTTGTACTATAGAACCTCTGTCATTCTGTACCGTGATTGTTCATTTTAATGTCATCTTACCACAAATTAGAATCATCTGAGTAGGGAACCTCATTTTAAGAACTGTCTCAATTCTCTAATGTGGGAAAACCAAGTGTGAGTGACACCTTTAGGAGCAAAGATGAAAAGGGTATGGTGGAAGGGAGGGAGGGAGGGAGGGAGGGTGGAAGGGAGGGAGGGAGGAAGGGAGGGAGGGAGGAAGGGAGGGAGGGAGAGGAAGGGAGGAAGAGGGAGGGAGGTTATTTATGTAGTTTTGCTCACTTGACCTTCTCTTCCTGCCATGTTCATTACCCTATTGTTACTGCTAATTCCTTTGCAGGTATCAGAGCCAGTTAGTAGGCTCCCATCACTGATGGAGAACCACCAACTGACTCTCCAGGAGCCTTCCTGTTTTCAGCTCCAGCTCCTCCTGGGTTGTCAGCCTCTCAGGTGTGAAAGCCTAGGACTGAGTCACCACTGTATGTATTCATCTTATCGGTTCTGTTCCTTTAGAGAACCCTGACTAATACATCTGTTTTCACAGTTGGCTATGGAGATTCTGTTTTCTTATTCTGCATGAAGCATGTGCTTTCAGTTCTACTTAATTAGCATTCCAAGCACTTTAGTTCCACATTCTATGCAAAGATACATTTATTATATACTGTGATATTTAAGAAAGCAGTTTAATGAATTCCCATGTGATATATTAGTATGTTTACTGCTAGGCAGTGAAATTTAGTACTTATGTGAGAAAATGGTCAGTTAGGCACACCAAAATCCTACATTGTCCTATTAGATATACTTGGTCTTATTTATATACTATGGATGCTAACTAGATCTATCTTTTCACACATTTCGAGAAATGAATAAAGTCTTCCTTTCTTTTCTTTCTTGTGAAACTGTTACAAAAATACTGGTTCCATTTGTCTAAAGACACAAAGTGAAGGAAGAATGCAGCCAATGAAAAACAAAACTATTATTGGCATTTGGCAGGTGTCTGGATTTGCAACTATCAAATTGCTTTTGGGTAACAATGGTAAGAGATGATTCATATTGTTTTGTAAGGCAGAATACTCTGCTGCCAACAAAATAAAATTCAACTTATAATTTTTTAACCTGCTTTATATACTTGGGACATATAATACATAAATAAAATATATTAAGTCGTACTTGGTTTTAAATTAGTATTCGGGTGGTATCTAAAGTTGAAAAACGTGTGCTTTCAAACAATATAATAGCCTTTTATTTTTAAAACCTGTGTGTGTGTGTGTGTTGTAGTTCAGAAGACAATTTCTTGGCGTCAGTTCTCTCCTTCCATCTTTTACATGGCCTCAACAATTGCACCTCAGTTCACAAGGCTTATGCAGCAAGCATCTTTTCCTATAAGAGCATTTTTTTAAAGAAAGAAAAGCATAACCTCATTTTCTATGTGTACAAAATCAAACAGCACAAAAGGAGCAGTCCACATGATCTGGTTCCTCCCTAAAAACCATGGGATGTGAATTCCATTAGCATACTCTGAAAAAGAATTTATCCTTCAGTGTGGTTTATAACTTACCTTAGCTAGAAATGTTTGCTCTACTACATTTTTGTTTTTTAAAAATAAATCCTAACTACTGATTCCCTCAGTTATGTTGGGAGTCGATTGTCCCCTGACACTATGTGAAGTTATAGGAAGTCTCTAGGATTGTGTTGTGCATAGGATGACTTCATCATCTCTTGCAAGGTAATTCTATAGGGACCTTCCCCTCAGAGCACTAATCATCTGGCCTGTATATGCAAATGTAAAATTATAGCTTTAGATTATATTCACAAGGTAGAGGATACCACCAAACACAAGCAGAACCCGGACAAGAAGCACCAAGGACCTAATATTCTAGGATAGGTTAGTTTTTCTGCCTCCCCCCCCCTCATAGACACACACACACACACACACACACACACACACACACACACACACACACGGTAAAATGAATGTTAAAAGCAAGGAGGCACCATCAGGCAGAACCTAAAATCACGGTAGACCCTGAGCAGGAACCCATGTGGAGGACTAGGCAGGAGAGACGGTGAGCCACTCTGAAGGGAGAGTAAGACAAGTGGGATCAGGGCTGGATTGTGCCCTCAGCAGGGAGCAGATGACACAGGCTGCTGTAGCAGCTGCTCTAATGTCACCTCTGCCTCAGCTAGGGGCACAGGTGTTGATAAATGAAGGGGGGTAAGTACCCTCCTTTTCTAACAAAGTGAAACATAATCTTCTCAAAGCTCGTTTTGTTCTCATAAGGTCAGTTATTCTTAGGATGCAAAATGCTAACCAGGAGGAAGGCACAGGAACCAGGTGACTCCATCCCTTCATATTTTCAGGGTCCATGATATACCAGAAAGAAGTTTTCAGTTCCTTGAGGACACAGAGCATTTATGATCAGGAAAGAAAAAGAATGTTTTTTTTTAAATGTCAGGGAAAAAGATGTACAAAGGGAGGAAGAGTCAGAGGCACATGCATGGTTACTGAGTTGCTTTACAGGTTAAAAACAGGCTCGTAAAGGTTTAGATATTTTCCTAAAATCAAACGAGAAACAGAATCCAGTATTCTGTCTACTACCAGCTAACACAGGAAGATGGGGGATTCTCTGTCTCAGAAGTGTATAAAGTTTTTGTCTTTCTTATAGGGCATATACTGCAGACAGAGAAGAATGCATACTTCATTCTACAGTTTAAGTCATTTTCAGGCTGTGTGCCTTTACAGGGCAGAGGCACTCTACTGAAAACATCACCAGTCAGCCACTTAGAACCATTTCAGCTTGTTCTATGGCCTGGGCCAGTCCTACCTGAAGGAGCTACAAGCTGCATAACCTTCTAATTCAATTAGGCATACATAGCACAACTCTGAATGGAGAAGGAAGAGTGGCAGTAGACTACAGAATGTTTTGTAATCTGAGCAGGTTTAAGAGAAGCAAGCATTGGGGCTGGAGAGATGGCTCAGCAGTTAAGAGCTGGGTTCAATTCCCAGCACCCACATGACAGTTCACCGCTGTAACATCAGTTTCAGCGGACCCGACACCCCCACAAGGACATAATGCAGGCAAAACACCAATGCTCATAAAATAAAAAGAAAAAAAGGAAAGCAAGCATTCCAATACTGAAACATTAATCTACAGAACTGGTATAATTTCACTGAGCAATTAAGCTAACAATAATAATGCTAGCCTTCAGTAGTGCATCCTGTTAGTCCCTTAGATTTGTTCTTTTCCAGAAGTGTTATCTCCTCATTGTTCCCACATGCTTGCTTCATTTCTGTTTCTTGCCTTAGCTATTACTAAAATTCCTTCACACTTCTCCATCCACCAAAGCCTGTCTCAGAATACATGGAGACAGGAATATAATCTACCACAACTATAATTCATTATCTACATGTATGAAATAATCAAAGAATAAATAAAATTTAAACATGCCCAAGATTGGTCTAGTCAACATTTTATCACAGATGGGGGGAGGCTAATCAGGCCCCATGCCTCCCCGAGGGACTACTGGGAGTTTGTGGCTGCTGGGGGATGGGGGATGGGGGCTGGCACTTTCTTTAGTGGCATAGCTCCTGATAAGATTTGGAAACAAGAAAGATTTCAGAGCAGCAGGAATGAGAAGGAAATGGGGTGGTGAACATGATTAAAATGTATATATACATGAATGAAACTATGAAAGAACTAAAAATTTTAAAAGTAATTACTTTCTATTTTTAAGACAGGATTTCACTATGTAGCATTGGTTGGTCTGGTATTAGCTATGTATGTAGAGCAATTCACTGCCTGTGCCTCCTGAGTGCTGGGACTACAGGGGTGTATCACCACACCTGGCAAAGGAAGTCAATTCTTAAAAGATGTATTCATTTTAGTTTACAGGTGTTGAGTGTACTACCACATGCCTGGTACCTGCAGAGGTCAGAAGAGGGTGTCAGATTTCCTGGAACTGGAATAACTTTATGCATGGTTGTAAACCACCATGTAAGGGCTGGGAATCAAACCCGAGTCCTTTGCAAGAGCAACGAGTGCTCTTAAAAGCAGCGCCAACTCTCCAGCTGAAGAATTCAATTTTAAAAAGAGAATGGCGTAGATAATGCTATCTACTTCTTATAGGTGAAATAAACATGGAGTGTTTGAAGTGTATGTCATATACAGTAAACATTTTTCTACATGGTGTCACATGCTTTGTGCATACATGCCTCCTTTCTACATGGTGTCACATGCTTTGTGCACATATGCATCTTTACAGGCTGAATTGTGCTCTGTCTCTATCTGTGCTGAAGACTAACTACTTTAGAATATACCTTTGTTTACCGTTAAAGAGGGTTAACTGGGGTACCCTGAAACACTGAAATATATAGACACAGGGCAGACAGCCCCTGAGGGTATCACAAGAAAGCAGCTATCGGGCTGGAAGTGGTGGCACTGCCCTAGAACCAAAACACCTGGAAGGGACAGAAAGATTTCAAGTTATAGGCCATCTAGGCTACAAAGGGAACCTTTCAAAAAAAATCAAAAATAATCAAACACAAACAACAAGCAGCTACCACCATTTATTTCTTCTATTTCTGGAAAGTCCTAGACTGTGGTGGTGGCAGATATGGTATCTGCTGAGAATTGTTTCCTTATAGTGGCGCCATCTTACTGTGTCCTCATGGGGTATAAAAGATGAGGCGTCTCTCTGAGCTTTTATAAGGGAACAGTTTCTTTCACGAGGACATCTCTCCTATTTCTTACTATGGTCACCTCCTTGGGGTTAGTCTTATCTCCATATCACTCCTGGGACAACAACATTCTGGGCACAGTAGTGGCTGTCTGTAAGCAAAGAGAGCTGTAAGAAACCAAACTTACCTCTCATCATTCTCATCTTACATTTCCAGCCTCTGGAACTGCTACACTTTAATCTTCTGGGCAGGGAATATAGCTCAGTTGGTAGCATGCCTGCGTGGAAGAGGGCGGGGGCAAACCATACACAAATGTGCGTGGTTTGCATACCTAATCCCAGCATTTATCAAGTGGTGGCAGGAGTATCAGGAATTCAAGGTCATCTATATAGTGACTTATAGGCCAAGCTGGACTATAAGATGCTGTTCCAAACAAACAAAACAAAAACAAAAATTTTTCTGTTTCTAAAGCCACTCAATTTATAATATTTTAATATTAGATATATCAAAGAGTGAATATAACTGAGATTAATGGTTTGCCATTAAATTTGGTAGAATATCTGGATGAGGTTTTCATTTTTATGAGGTTGAAATCATTAGTGGTTAAGAACACTGTGCTGAGTCTGATTAAGCCACTTCTCAGTTAGGAAACTGTAGGTGGTAAAGCCTAAAGCCATACACAACAAAGGTTTAGACCCAGTACTGTGTGTGCCTTTCAGGACTAAGTGAGAGAATGTACAGCAGATGGTTAATGTGTCTGTCTAGCCACACGCCTAAATGTTTCCTGAAGGAGAGATTGTGTAACAACACTTTCTCAGCATCTAGTATTTTCTATCGCCATCCAAACCAGTGAAGGTGCTGTCCTGGTGGTTGTGTGTTATCAGAGAGGAAGGGGCCTCAGCTGAGGAAAATGTCTCATAAGGTCCAGCTGTAAGGCATTTCTCAATCAGTCATCAATGGGGGTGGGCCAGTCCATTGTGGGGTGTGAGCATTCCTGAACTGTTGGTCCTTCGTTCTATAAGAAGGCAGGCTGAGCAAGTCAGTAAGCAGCTCTTTCATGGCCTCTGCATCAGCTCCTGCCTTTAGGCTCCTGTCTTGACTTCCTTTGATGATGAACAATGATATGGAAGCATAAGCCAAATAAACCCTTTCCTCCCCAACTTGCTTTTGTTCATGGCAACAATAGAAGCCCTAACTAAAACAAGTGCTGACACAGAAATTAAGTGAATTTGTACTTACAGAGAGTGAACATTAGATTATACACTGGGGCTGGCAGGTCTATCTCAGTGGTTCTCAACCTGTGGATTATGACCCCTTTGTGGGTGGAACGACCCTTTCACAGGGGTCACCTATGGAAAACACAGACATTTATCTTATTTGTAACAGTAGCAAAATTACAGTTATGAAGTGGCAATGAAAATAATTTTCTGGTTGGGGGTCACCACAACATGAGGAACTGTGTTAAAGTGTCCTAGCATAAGGAAGGTTGGGAACCACTGCTCTATCTGATCCTAAGTTATCCTGTCTCCTCTCTGTACTACCTTTCCCACAAAACCCATAGATTCTAATGTGCTGGCACAGTACTTGCTTTCTGATACATATATTTTACGGCTGAAGGGTCACAGGGACTAGGGCATTAAATATCATTTTCAAAGCATCTTCTCACATATGAAAGAAAAACAAAAGGACAAATAAAACAAAGGCCAAAGAATAAGCAGAGGAAACTCTATCTTTGGCCCTGCAATGCAGACAGTCATGGTATAATGGCCTCCTAAGAATGTGGCGCAAGTGATTTGCATTCTCATATTGCAGTGTCCTGATCTGAACCAAAAAGTTCCAGTTGTTAAAGGGTTATAACTTGTACCGCTATTGGACGAACTCTATTGTCTAATTTTAGCACATAACTCACCCCTTCAGTATTTAAGCCCAGTTAAATAAGCAAAGCATGTTCTCAATTGCTGAAGAGTAGCACGCTCTCATCTCAGGCTGTAAGTCTCCCACACCCTAACCCAGGAATCACATCAGTTATTACGGTATTTAAAGGTATCCCATCAAGACATTTGTTTTCACTGTTTTCTTTAATAAAACAATGAAGTAGTCATTTCTTCACACATATGCTCTGTATTAAATTGCCTCCCAGAAGATGTTTAATTTTTATGTAGACAATTAACTTACATATTTATTTTAGTTTTGTCAAGAGACTAGTCTTAAGAGGACAATGCCAGTTTTGAAATGACTCAGTAAGAATGGCCACATGCACATTTTTACACGTCAACTAAAAACAGAAGTCCATACCTGAGTAGTGGGGTGTGTTTCTAAGTAAGGTGGTCGGTGAGAATTACTTTGCTCTAGCAGGTGTTTTGCTACTTCACTAGTTTTGTACTGCAACAGGAACTTATTTTGCATGTTATTTAGATATTTGGGTTTTAAATATAGAAAGTTCTATCGTCAATAATTCCAGAGATATTTAAAATGCTTCTGTAAATCACAATACTAGTCTGCAAAGAGTTAACAGAATAAAAAAATCTGGAATTAATGGAATAAAAAAGTCTTGAAATCTGTTTTATTTTTCCCTATTTAAATGAAATATGTATAAAACACAGTTTGAGACAGCAAAGGAGAAAGGCTTTTCTTCTTTTTCCCAAGCACAGGCACAATTACTTTCTGGGAAGGTTCTCACTTTATCACAAATTTACCAACAATCCAAATATTCTTCCAAAACAGATTAAGGACTTCATAAAGCTAATTCTTCCCAGCACAGAGGTTGGAAAACCCTAGCTTCCCATCGACTCAGCTCCTCTCTCCATGAAGGGCTGAGAAAAGGAGATCGGTCACAAGCAGAGGTGGGACAGATACTAAGTCCATTTCTCTCTGTTCTAGTAAAATACCCAGTTGTAGTGATCTTAAAGAGAAAATGGAAACACTATATGAAAAGTACATTTTACCTAAATTTCTATTACCTGGAAGGGATGTTTGTTTGGGTTTAAAGAAAGTTACTGAATTACAATATTTCCCTAATCAATACAATATAAATAAAAATAATTAGAATTCGTCATCAAGGTGGCACAGTGAATCCGTGCTTCAATTGATTCTGTTTAGAAGGAAAACACTTAACTTGGGTGGCTCACTCATAGTTCAGAGGGTAAGTTCATTATTATCATGGCAGGGAGCATGGCAACATGCAGGCTGACGTGGTGTTGGAGTAGTAGCTGAGAGTCCTAGATTTTGCCAGCAACAGGAAATGGCCTGAGACACTGGTGGTATCCTGAGCATAGGAAACCTCAAAGCCTGCCCCTACAGTGACACATTTCCTCCAACAAGGCAATACCCACTTCAACAAAGCCACACCTCCCCATAGTGTCTCTCCCTATGAGCTTATGGGGTATAGTTACATTCAAACTACTATATCCTATATGCTGTAAACACATGATAATTACAGATAAAACAGAAAGAAAAAGAAAGGAAATCCAAGATCCATTTTCTCATAAAATAAAAAAGCCATTTTGTGGACTAGCAACACAACAAAAATACTAAGTAGTGAGCTGGATTAAACTTCACACTATGCATGGTGGGATCTTGAAGCAGCAAGTGATAACTGGAATTTGTTTTTATGGAACTACAACTTCCTACCCAAGATGCAGAACAAAACCAGCTTTGTTACTAGAAGCCAGAAACTGAAGCATAACTAACTTGACCAACTATCCTGGGTTTCCTAAGACACCTGGTCTCCCTGCCACCTCCCCCAACAAAGGTCATTTTAAAGTAAAAATGGTGTTTGGACATAGTGGTTCTTGTCTGTAATTCCTGTTTGGAAGTCTGAAACAGGAAGACTGAGTTCTTGGACAGTCATCTCTGCACTTTGATACCCTATTTCATAAAATCTAAGCCAAGAGTGGTGGTGCATGCCTTTAATCCCAGCACTTGGGAGGCAGAGGCAGACTGTCTCTGTGAGTTTAGGCTAGTCTACATAGTAAGCTCCTGGCTAGTCAGGGCTACACAGTGAAACCCTGTCTCAAATATTATATCTTTGACCTCTCTCTCTCTCTCTCTCTCTCTCTCTCTCTCTCTCTCTCTCTCTCTCTCTCTCTCTCTCTCTCTCTCTCTCTCCCACCTATCCATAGAACTAGAGAATAGAAAATACATCATTAAATGAGCATCTTACTAAACATTTAACTAAACTGATCCATGTTGAGAGGTTGGAATCAGAAGCATATTATAAACTGGCCAGTTCACAAATAGGAAACAGATTTAAACAATGCATAAGACAACTATTTTGTGGTATTTTAAATTATTGCTGAAGTATTAAGGTGTTATCTAGCATTGCATTGAAGACTTTTAAAGTCCTCAAACAGGATATTTGTGCATTCAAACAATACAATAAAAGCTCATCATCAGGCAGGTAAGACTACCCTAAGTATGTGGAAATATAACTTACTGGGTAGAAGCTCACTGGCACCTTTAGCACTGATATTTCAAACCCTTTTCCAGTTTCTTGGAAACCTGAGTTAGCTGTAATGTCACTATTATCTACATGTGCAGGACTCAGATATCATAACCACATACACATTGCTTAAGATACACCCATTTTCCTCAGTCAGAAGAATACTCATAGGAATAGCCCCCCACACTCTTGTTTTTATTTTTTGAGACACATTCTTACTATGTAGCTTTAGCTGGCCTGGAATAAAGATCAGACTGGCTCAAACTAAAAGATCTGCTGCCTGTACCACCAAACCTGTCAAGAATAAATTGATAAGGAGCACACACAGGAGGGCTGTTATTCACCAGTTCATTGATAAGACCCTAGAGAATGGTGTGATATTGAGATCATAGGGTAACACCACAGTACAGATTGTTTTACAGTGATCTGGGGTACAAAACCAGGTGGCAACGACCCAGTGATCCCAGAGCAGCTAGTGGGAACTGATGTCATAAAGGGTGAAAAGAGTACTGGCTATTTACAGATCAGTCAAGTGCCTGGGAGGGACAATGAACCTCAGATTGCAATGCTATATGCTTGTTGGGCACTCTGCAAAAGACAATTTTCTTTTGCTGAGCACATCGGGAGGCAGGCAGGTGGGTCTCTGGGAGTCTGAGACAAGTCTGGATATAATACATAATGAGAACCTGTCTAAAATGAAGACAGAAGGAGGAAGAGAAGGAGAAGGGAGGAGGGAATGACAGAATGAGAGAGAGAAGATGTAAAGAAGGACAGGAGGGAGGGAGGGAAGGAGAGAGGGAGGGAGAGAGGGAGGGAGGGAGGAGATTCTTTTCAGATTAACTCCTCTTGGTATTTGGAAGAAGACTCTTCAAGTATCACAGAAATGGAATAGCAAGTAGGCAATGTCCATGGATGAAATGTTGTGCTACCAAAGTTCAGGAGCCTCATTGCTTTCCAGTTGCTGACTCATGAAGCTGAATGCAGTAAACACAGTGCTCTGATTAGTTGGTGTGCTACTTAGTTTGGTGCCAGAGGAAAGTTCAGGATCTGTACTGGCTGAGAGTTTTCCTAGTCTTACCATCATAGCCCTGACTATGTGACTCTCCTTACAGTTCCCATCTAGGCCAACAGAATACTGGTATAGCTTTAGCATGTACTATAGGAAATACCTTTGGAGACATGACTTCGACTCCTTGCCAAGGGCCTCATCTAGCAGAACCCCGAATAAGGAACAATGTAGGATTGTCAGCAAGGAGATTGACAGAGGGCCACCCTGCCTTTGCCATTTGGATCATATGACCACAGAAGCATTTTAAAAATAAAAGGGCTGTGGTGAGATCTTGCTTGTACAAATAAAGCCTGTCTGGGGGTCGGGGGAATGGAGCTTGCCCATTTACAAAGGGCCATTTGAAAAACTTGGGTGTTTGGCAACAGATTCCAAACCAAGTCCAAAGGACATTACTCTGACCCTTCTTTCATACAGGAAAATGCATCCTGGTTCAGCAAACAATATGGGGAGGAAATAAAGGTGGGCACACAAGCCCTGTGTGCTTTCTGTGGGAGAATCTCCTAGGCTAGAGCAGGCTTCCTCAGCAGGCTTCTCTGCATGAAACAAAAAGAGCTGGTGGGGCAAGGAAGCAGAGGATGTGGGTTTGGTTCCAGGCACCCACGGGTGGCTCACAACATTGTAACTCCAGTTCTAGGGTGTCTGGGCCCTGTTTCTGACATCTGAAGGCACCAGTCATGCATGTAGTGACATGCATACATACAGGCAAAACACTTATGCACACAAAATAAAAAACTAAAACAATTAAAAATATAAAACAAAGAGACACAGCTTATAATCAATGAAGAAGATAAAATGATTGAAAAACATCTCCAAAAGACTGGAAAGGGTTGGCATGATAGCTCAGGTGACAAAGTGCTTACCTTGCAAGCATGGAAACCTGAGTCCCATCTCCAGAACCCATATTAAAAAAAAACACACACACACACAAAGTCAAGTGTGGTAGCTCACATTTGTAGTTCAAGCACTGAAGAGGTAGAGACAGGCGGTTCTCAGCCTAACCTATTTGGTGAGGTCCAGGCCAATTCAAAAAACATGGTAGACAGCACCTAAGGAAACCACATATCCAAGACTGTCCTTGGGCCTCTATATACAAATGTACACACACAGTAGGGAGGAAGAGGGGGGAGAGAGAGAGAGGGAGGAATCGGGGAGGGGGAAGGGAGGAAGAGAGAGAGAGTCTATGAAGAGAGACAAACAGAAACACAGCAGCAAGATAGCAGATAAACCCAGTTACATCACTAATTACATTAGCTACAAATGAAGTAAGCATACTAATTAGGCAGAAATGTCAGACTAGACAATGAAGCACAGTTTAACTGTATGCTATCATTAAGAAATATGTTTTAAACATAAAAGCATAAATTAAAAGTGAAAGATCAAGTAAAGACACACATTTTAAATACTGGTCATAATAAAGATGAACTAGTTGCTATTAGCAAAGTATACTTTAGGTCAGAGGATAGACATTGCTAGAAGTAAAGAGCAGTATTTCACAATGGGAAAAGGTCAGTCATCAAGAAACTATAACCATTCTAAATATTCATCTACTTACAAAGCTTCAAAATAAAAGCTAATACAATGGAAAGGAGATACGATAAATTCACAGTTGTAGAAACTTCAACATCTTTCATCAATAAAGTAATTGACAGAACAAACACACACAAAATCAACAAAGACATGGAAGACTTCAGTAATATTATCAAACAACTCAGCCCATTTGATGTTACAGAACATACTATCATACAACTGCCATATATACATTTTTCTTTTCAAATATTCATATTCATACTGACCATCTACTATGTCAGCATATAAGTCTTAAAATACTTAAAAGGATTGAAATGATAAAAAACATAGTTCTTATCATAAAATGGAATTAAGTTAGAAATAAAGAAAAATAGAAATTAGAAATCAATAAAAATAAAGCAAAAAACTGTAAAAATCCAAAATATTTGTAAACTAAGCAATATTTTGTTTTCAGACAGTCTCACTAGTAGCCCTGGCTGACCTAGAACTCAATATGTAGAGTAGGCTGGTCTTGAACTCACAGAAACCTGCCCGCTTGTGCCTCCTGAGTGCTAGGATTAAAGACATACACTACCCATAAACTCCATCAACATGACTGCCTAAATATGAGCTGAAGAAGGACAACACCAAAAGACATGCCTAAGTGGATGGGGAACTCTCAAGAGGACTCAACCCTACAGAAAGGCAAATGAGGAATGCTGAGAGTGGAGGAATGGAAGAGCACGCAAACTCGTTATCCAGTACCAAATGATCCACCCTGAAAACATGCATATAAATAACATTATGTGGACTGAACAGGTTATATAGCAAACGTGCACACACGCGTGCGTGCGTGCGTGCGCATGCACACACACACACACACAAATGCATGCATGCATGCATGTAACAACAATTAATGAAAAGGGGCCATGGATTTGAAAGCAAACAAAGGGGGGGTATATGAGAAAGTTTGTAGGTACAAAAATGGAAGGGAGAAATATTACAATCTCAACAATAAGAGAAAAAATAGACTAAATCATTTATTTATACGTGTGGACACACACATGCCATGCGCATGTGGCGGTCAGAGAAAAACATGTGTATAAGATAGTTCTGTCCTTTTTCCGTGTAAGTTCTAAGGCTCAAACTAAGGCCATCAGGTTTGGTGGCAGTGCCTTTCTTTACCAGCTGAGGCACCTGGCCAGCCCTGAGGTACAGAATTCTTTCAGAGTGCAATCCTCTCACACTACATAAGAGAAGACACCCACAATTCCCAGACAGGGGAATGCTTAGGTTAGCTCATTTGACGCCAAACACATGAATTCTATGAACTAGAATTGGTAAAAAAAGATAAAAACAAATTCAATTTGCATTTATTTTTCCAAGTCATTTTCTAGTTATACACTCATAAAAACAGATTTGTTCTTTAACAGTATTTACAGACTACTTTCTATGTTCCAGGAATACACTAGTAACATGTGAGAGAGATACAAAGGGGTGAAAATCCCAAACTGCTTATGGATCTTAGAGCAGATGAGAACAGAATATAAGCAATAAGCAAAAATGTGTTTCATTTATAGAATGGAGATAATGGTAACAAGGAAAAGCAGAGTAGTGAGGAGGGGAAATAATTTCTCCCCCAAGCCCAACAAGGGACAGAATCTAGTTCCTTCCTGTATGCTGGGCAAGTACATTTACAGTGAGCAACACTTTCAGCATCCCAGGAGCTAGAGTTGGCAGGCAGAAAGACTTCATTGTTAGGAGATAGCTGAGGAATACTGAAAGTAAGGAAGAAGACATGAAAATCTGGGCCAAATATTTGGGAGTGTACCATGGTAGTCAAGAAAAAGTAAGGAAGTTGGTACAGTTGGTGCAGGTAGAGGCAAAGGAACTCAGTATACAATGTTAGGTAAAGAGGTCAGGGAAGACCAGGTAAGGTTTCATAAGGACTTTAGCTTTTACACTCAGTAAGTGTAAAGTCTCTGGAAGGTTCTGAGAAGAGTAGTGAAATGACTATCTTGGATACAACAACATCATTCTGGCTGTCATGATGAAAATATGTCAAAGGTGAAGAAAACTGAAAGGACACCAGATAGGCTATTGCAAGAATCCCAGTTGGAGTTGGAGAGAGAGCTTAGTGGTTGGGTGTACATTACTCTTGCAGAAGATCTGAGTTTGGTTCCTAGTACCCAAAATGGGCAGCTTACAATTACTTATAACATCCAACACCTCTTCCTCAGGCACCTGTACTTGTTGTGGAATAGAATTTTTGTTTAACTAAGTAAAGATTGTTACATTTGTTTGTGTTTCAGAATAATTGTTTAAATTATGTAAAGATGAGTTTTATTTATGCTGCATTTGATTAATTATGCAAAGATGAGTTGCTGTTTCACTTTGCCCCCCCAAGGCACCCAATTGGTCTAATAAAAAGCTGAATGGCAAATAGCTAGGCAGAAGAGGGATAGGTAGGACTGGTGGGCAGAGAGAAAAAGGGAGCCAGCCAGCCAGCCAGATATGGAGGAAGCAGGAAAGCAAGACAGACAGATGGTAGATGAGGTAAGTGAGTCTCAGGGCAGCACATACATAAATAGAAATGGTTACTTTAAGTTCAAAAAGTTAGCTAGAAACAAGGCTAAGCTAAGACCAAATATTCACAATTAATAAGTCTCCATGCCTTTATTTGGGAGCTGGTTGGCAGCCCAAAGAAAATTTCAACTACATGCATTTACATGCACATATTACACAACATACACCCACTTAAAAATAAAAATGGGTGCTAGAGAGCTGGATCAACATTTAAGAGAGCTTACTGATCCTCCAGAGAACCCGAATTTGGTTTCCAGCACCCATATAAGGTGGCTCACAAATGCTTGTAACTCTAGTTCCAGGGGATCTGATGTCCTCTTCTGACCTCTTTGGCTACCCACCCACACAGAACATACACAGGGGATGGAGTAGAGATAAGACAGGGTCTGAAGTGAGTGTGTACTGTTGACATGAGCATGGTCATGTCAAGGACTCCAATGCCTCAGACCCCTTTCTCTGACTCAGGTTCAGGAGAATAAGGCCTTCCCCTAGTTCAAGTATGGATGTTGACAGTATGTGTAGAAAGTATCAACCACAATATCTTCCTATCCTCCTACTAAAACTAGCTAACCTACCTCCTCAGTCAGCTGTATATAATAAACATGCTCCTTGTTCATACTGTTCACAATAAACATATCAAGTTTGGGATGCTGCTGGTGTATCTCTATCAGCATGCATGATCTGTTGGTCTCTCAGTTTTTTATGAATATCTTAGTTATGGTTTCTATTGCTGTGAAGAGACACCGTGACCACGGCATCTCTTATAAAGGAAAACATTTAATTGGGGTGGCTTACTTACAGTTCAGAGGTCTAGTCCATGATCATCATGGTGGGAAGCAGGCAGACATGGAGCTGGAGAAGGAGCTGAGAGTTCTTATCTTGACCTGCAGGCAATAAGAAGTGGTCTTAGACTTGGCTTGAGCATGCATAAGACCTCAAAGCCCACCCCAAGAGACACACTTCCTCCAATAAGGCCATACCTACTCCAACATCTCCTAATGGTACCACTTGTTATGAGCTTAGGGACCCAATTACATTCAAACTACCACAATGAGTCTGTTGTTTCTTCATTCCCTGTTGCCCCAGTCAGGCTGATCCCAAAGTTGTGCCCATCACCACACACATACACATGAACAAAAATATAAATAAACCTTAAAAAATAAATCTTAAAAACAGAATCCTAGAGAACTGATGGCTGTTTCTAACAAGGTGGTTTCTAGTACATTCAAAAGAGCGAGGATGCAGGAGAGATGCTAAATCACAATCAGTTAAGTAGGGAAAGTGACAAGACCTAATGTACATGTTGCAGCGCTGCAGACCTAGGAACACTCCATTCAGAAGAGGGGAAAGGCAGACAATTCAGATACAGGTAGGTGACTCAGGCAGCGGTTGTAGTGAGGTGGTTAAGGTTTTTCTGATTACTGCTTTTTCCTGGGGACACAGGAAGCAAGGGGGAAAAAAAGGAAGAGAGGAAAGTATTGGTGCTTGAGGAAGGTAGGTGCAGTGCTTTACAAAACCAGAAGGAACAGATTAGATTTGCCATGCCCAGTCCTTAGCCCCCAGATAGAACTCAAACAGTCCTCTAGCATTTTGCTTCTCAATCTCTGCATATAAAGAAGCAATTATCAATATTTATTCACTTTTTATTATACATAGGCTACTCCAGGGAGAGAGCAAATCTTGCCTTTACTATACTAAGAGTGGAAGTGCCTAGATATATAGAGCATATATATATATATATATGCAGAACTGATGTTTTCTGCTTTGAATTACTGCAGCATTACAAGACTACCTAAGAAAATCAGGGCGCTAAAAATCTACATGGGCTTATTATTATGTGTACTTTCATTTACCCTAAGATTACTATAGAAGAGAAAATCTTAAAAGAGGAAATTAATGTCAGAGGAAGGAAAATGCTTACTCTAAGAGGATAGAAGATTAAAAATGCTTTCATAAATACCACAAGGCTTTCTTTCTTTCTTTCCTTCCTTGCTTTTTTTTTTTTCTTTTGTTTTTTTGAGACAAAGTTTCTCTGTGTGACAGCTCTGACTGTCCTGGAATTTGCTTTGTAGACCAGGCTGGCCTCAAACCACGAAGTTTTCAGATAGGCAACTTATATAGAAAGTTTGAAGTGGTGTGCATTTCGTATCATGCAAGTATTTCTAATACAAATATTCTCCAATAAATACGGGTGTAAACTGTCATACACATGCTGTGTATTTATCAACATCATAAATTCATACAATTTCCTATGAGGTTATATAGACACTAATTATCAGTTAATGCCCTTGTACTGACTGATACAACTCAGGAGAACAGGAAAGTAGTCCTGGGGTTTTATAAGATATCGACATCATGTCCTAAATCTCCCTCTCTATTTGAGAAAAGTATTCAGTTAAATTTCACCATTATTGGAAGCCACATTAATTTATATCCATTTATATCCCCCCCTCCCTCTCCCTCCCTTCCCCCATCCTTCGTTCCTTCCCCCCCTTCACTTTTCCTTTTCTATGAAAGGTGATTTAATAGAAATTAGGCCAATTCCCATAAACAGCTGCTGTGTATGTGCAGAAAATATGTTAAAGAATAACCATCATGAATACTGACAACCAACCAAAGACTCAAAAGACTCATTATACACTTTGGGGGCTATACTTGAAATACAATTAAACTCGCTGGTTCCCAAAATATATTTATTTAAAGGTCTTAAAAAAGAAGCTATTTTTCTTATTCTTAAGGACAGAGAAAAGCAACTGAAATTCTTAGACAGAACTGCTTATTTTATTGACTCAAATTTCAGTTTTGAGTTTGGATTTAATGGTTTTCCAAAAGTTCCCACTACCAAACAATGTCCATGTAGTCATTTCCAGGAAGGCTTGACTTATCCATGTTTAGATAGTTTCAGAAATACTGAATAAACATCAATGATAGAGATATTCTGATTAGGTACAATTTATGATCATAAGAGTCAGAAGACTGTGCATATAATAATGGAGTCCCCCAAATTCCTCTATGGATTAAGAATGTTCCAGAGAAAATGTGATTGTTATTATAAATAAATAAATAAAACATTATGGGGGGCAAGAAATAAACATTTGTTCCATTTTCAGTGTGAGGTGCATCTAGGAGCATCAGCGAGCCATGGAGAAGCAGGAGGCACTAGTTACACGGTACAGGCAGCCTGCTATATGGCGAGCCTGTACGGTATCAGAGAAGGAGGGAATCTCAAGTCTGGGATATATATTAGCTACAACTCTGATCATACACCAATAGAAAGGGGAATTTGGGAGGGAGCATCTAGACACCTAGAAGATTGTGCTCCCCAAAGAACTTAGTCAATGAGGAATTTGGGGAACAGAGAAATGAGGTCAGGAATATAAAACCACTGCTTTATCATGCCATCATTTTTGCCTTTTTTTTTCCAGACTGATACTAAGTTTCTGCAGAACCAAAAGTAAATTAAGTCTCGTTTTCCCTACTTGGACTTTCTATTATTCTTATGAATTAGTATCACTGTTTCTCACTGGGGGAAACCCCGATTTTCACTAAAAATATTTTGTATTTTCAACCCATTCTTCTCTTGAATTAGGACTTTTCATAATTCATATGCTTTATTATTTATCCTAAATTTCTTTTTTCATTCTCTCATTGAAGGAAAATATAACTCAAGAACATATTCCACTCAAAGAGACACTGGCTTAAGATATTCCAAATGAATATATTTTAAGAAACAACAGGTAAAATAAGCTGTTTGCTTTTTCTCATAGGTTTTTTTTTTTTTTTTTGGTTTTACGAGACAAGGTTTCTCTGTATTATTTTGGAGGCTTTCGGTCCAGCCTAGCCTCGAACTCACAGAGATCGGCCTGCCTCTGCCTCCCAAGTGCTGGGATTAAAGGCGTGCACCACCACTGCCCGGCTCTCATAGTTTTTAATTATCCCTTCACCTGCACTTATAAATGAAGGCTGTAATGTCATAATTTCTTTGCTTTGAAATAATAGAGGGCATGTTTATTGTATATCTGAAAGACAAGCATTAAAGGTGTGTGCCACCAACGCCCGGCTCTAAATGAACAGCTTAATTTGCACCATTAATATAAAAGAGAAGCTATAAAACCCGAGATAAAGCAAGTCTGATAAATCTTGGGCTGACCTCTGATTCTTCCTCAGAAAACTCTGTCTTAGAGCTCTGAGTGTAAGAGTGCTACTGTACCACGAATGCTTTATGAAGGCTACATAGGCTAACACAATTGTTCTCAGAGGGAGGCAACTCACCTTTCATGTAAGCATCATTATGTACTCAATTTAAACACACTTTTGTTTGGGTGATAATCCTCTAAGGTAAAGTTTTAACTTAAAGATCACAGAGAGGGGGAGCCGGGCGGTGGTGGTGCACGCCTTGAATCCCAGCACTCGGGAGGCAGAGGCAGGCCGAACTCTGTGAGTTCGAGACCAAGCCTGATCTACCGAGTGACTTCCAGGACAGGTTCCAAACAATACAGAGAAATCCTGTGTTGAAAAAAAAAAAGATCACAGAGGGTTTTCTTTTCCAGATCAAATTCTATGATTTCTATTTGATTTAACCTCTACCTATAAATTTTGAGAAGTATCAAGTATATTTATAACAAGACACAAAAGTTGCTAATCTGGTCATTAGTAGGTTATTAATCCTTTTCTGAATTATATTTATACAAACAAAATCCAGACTGAAGTTAACAGAAGTAAAATCCTGTCAAGTTATTCTAGACTAATATTGATATTCCAGTGTCAATATAATAGCAAGCTAAAGTTATAAACCACAAATGTAATTTTAAAACTCCTAGTAGTTATATTAACGTTCCAAGAAAAAAAACAGGTAAAATAAATTTTAATTTGTCGTTGAACATAGTATGTTCAAAATAGCGTACAAATAAAAGTATTATGCTACCCCACCCTTTGTTTTGGTATGGAGTTCTCAGAATCTAGTGTTTACATTTATCTCAGCTTGGGTTAACTACGTTTTAAGTGCTTAGTACCCCATATAGTCAGGGGCTATAATAGTGCCAGTGTAGTACGAGAGCTAACCAAGAGGGTTCCCAGACAAAGCAGCACTGAAATTATGGACTGCTAGAAGTGTAGACTTTATCTCAACACGCACGCTAGGAGATGTATGTGGACAAACACTGAGGAATGTTATTCTAGGAGTACCTTAATTATTTTCCAGTAAAAATTTGTTTTGAATAATTGTATAATTTCTTGTTTAAGTTATTTTGTTGAATCAGCATGCTTTCTCAGTTCCTCACTTCTGTTTTATTTAATAGCACATACTTTCATATTTATAAAAGCCTAACTTGTTTATTTAGAAAATTAGAAAACACAAGAAATAAAAAACATCTGTAATCTTATGGGTCAGACACAACTATTGACATTTCTTGTGTTCACCCTTAGTTTTTTAAAAATAGACTTACTTATTTTTATTTTGTGCAGGTTTGCCTATATGAATGTATGTGAACCACATGTATGCCCAGGGAAGCCAGAAGAGGATGCTGGAACCCTAGGAACTGGAGTTACAGCTAGTTGTAAGTGAGTATGTAAGTGCTGGGACCTGGACAGGGTCCTCTGGAAGAGAGGCAAGCATTCTCACCTGATGAGCCATCTTTCCATCTCCTAAAATGTTCACATAGAAAATATATATTCTCATTAATTGATCAAATAAAGTCTCAATAATGATCACCTTTAATTTTTCTACTGTATTTTAAAATATTTGAAAGTCCACCACAATTAATATAAACACTTAAATTAATCTTTTTTTAAAAAGAGCATCTCTGCTAGGCAGTGGTGGTGCACACCTTTAGTCCCAGCACTCAGGAGGAAGAGACAGGTAGATCTCTGTGAGTTCAAGGCCAGC